TTTGCATATATCTACTTCAGTCCAACTGTTACACTTACATTCAAATAGGATTGTTATGATACACTCCTTTGCAACCTGCTATTTTCACTGGGTTATATATTGTGAACATTTGTCCATGTCAATATATAGTCTTCGACAACATGGTTTTTAATGTCTGTGCAGCGTTCTACCACATGAATGTACGTGCTTTATTTAAATGGTAGCTTATTGTTAAACATTAAGGCTGTTCCGTTTTTTCAGTATTATAAATAAGTTTGATGAAGAATCTTACACATGTATCTTTTCACACATCTCTGATTGTGCCCATAAGATAAATTCACAGTTAAGGAATTGCTGGTGCATGGGGTATTTGTATTTTAAGGCTCTTAACACCCTTTAGAAGGTTTGTGTCGATTTATACTTCCACTAGAAATAATTTTAAAGGCGAATTTTCTATTGATCTGTATCTCGTTCTGACTCAACAATAAATTGAACTGGCTAAAGGATGCCCATATATCCATCTTTCTTTCATTATTATGTTATAATTAGGGTGAGTTTAGAACTAGTAAAATTAGCAACACTAGCAATGTTTTTCATCCTCAGTTTAGCCACAAAAATGGCCATGTCAGTGTAATGAAAGTAGTAATAATGGAGTTAACCTTTACGGAGAACTTACTGTATGGCAAGTAACATTCACAGTACTTTACAGATATTAACAATCCTATGAGGTAAGTACTATTACCCTTGACAGTTTAAAGGAGAGGAAACTGAGTTACCAAAAGGGTAAGTGCCTTGATCAATGTAGCTTTTCAGTATTAATATGTATCATTCTTATCTGGATTGTTTCAGTATTTCTGTACATGGTGATTCTTTTAACTTGCATCAGATCTTAAATAATTAAGATCTTTCTCTTACACAGACTAAACACCGACTCACCGCTGCCAAAGCCACTTCTGCTCTGAATATGAAATCCTGTGGTTGGATGGTCTTGGGACCCACTGTGGCAAAATTCTATAGACCCTGTCCCACACTCTGTCATGAAAATGGGACTATATTACAATTCTCATTCCCAAGCACAGCACTGTCACATACCGCCCCAGTCAGTTGTAGAGTTTGCCACAAGTAATTTGTTATAAGTAATTAAGTTCTGAAGTTTGCAAATGGAGCACTTTTCATGTAAATTGGAGTGGATGTGAGATTATCCTTGCCTAAGGTCACCTCACTCCCACACATTCCCATGTGCTCTCAGAGTAGGAGAGAAGTGGGTGAAGCCTTCGCAAAGTTGTGGAGGAGGGTTACCAGCCTGCAACCTATCTTGCCTCTGCACCCAGGGAGTGGCTGGCACATGCATGTGTGGGTCTCTGCAGGAAAAGCATGGGGAACTACAACTCCAAATGGAAGGAATAAAAGGGGAGGAAACAATGAAAACAACTGAAGAGTAGGAAAAGGTGTTTCTGCCTCAATGCAACTGGAAAAAAAATTAGACATTTTCATTCCCAGCCTTCTTTCCTCAATTAGCATCAGGAAGCCAAATTTAGTCCCCCCCCCCCAAAAAAAAAGAGCTATGCGTGCCCAGCGGGGAGAGATGATGAAAGCACCAACTTTATATGTTTGTGTTACAGCCTGTCAAAGGCTATCAAGATGGCCATGAAAATAATGGAACCTCCTAAAATCTTTGTTGTTAAAGAAATGTTTTCTCATCAATGAACAGCTTGCCAAGGCCAGATAAGCAGCATGAAAAGCAGAAAAAAAAAATGCTTCTGTTTGCTTATTTAGAGAGTTGTTCTTAATAATTCATCTGCTTACAATTTCCAGAAAGCAATTGCCATCCCTTGCCCATTGACTGGTTGGGAAAGGTCTCTTACACTGTTAAATTGTCCTTTTTCTTCATTAGTCTTTGCACCTTATGTTAACTACGTTCTTGCATGCTAGTGAGCAGTTAGAGCCACTGTCTGCTAATGAGGTCAAGGTTAAGGACTATAAAACTAATAGAATAGTTAACTGATGGTATTTTATAGTTAGCAACTGGATACCTAATCCCAGATAGACATCTTCCAATTTAATGCCTATGTTCCGGGCCAGCACCACTAGCCTCTTCTGGAGAAATAACTCAAAGCAGTGTCATTTTGGTATATCTTGATATATAAATGGTAAATCACTGTTATTCGCCAACATCAAAGAATAAACATGTTTTTTCCATTTAAGGGCAGCCTCATCAAGAGTATTTCCAACTCTTAAACTCTTCCTATGGTTTTCAGGGGTGTCCGATCTTTTGACTTCCTTGAACCATATTGGAAGAAGAAGAATTGTCTTGAGCCACATATAAAATACACTAACACTAATGATAGCTGATGAACTTTAAAAAAAATCACTAAAAGATCTCATAATGTTTTAAGAAAGTTTACAAATTAGTGTTGAGCCGTATTCAAAGCCATCCTGGGCCGCATGTGGCTCTTGGACTGCAGATTGGACAAGCTTGATTTATATGGCAGACCCTCCCTGCTTTTGCAGGCATCTTGCCCCAAATGGCTTTTGTTGGGTATTAATATCAAAGGACCATCTACCTTTTACTCAATAATCCTCTAAATTTTGAGGTGATCATTCCAATGTGGAATACATTTTAAAAAATGGTTTTGCTTTTTTTCTCTTGATAAAAGTAACATATTTGCATTATAGAAACCTTTAAAATGCAGAAAAGTATAAACAAAAATATTAAACTTGCCATGGACGATGTGGGAAGAATTGCATTTAAGTATTTTGATTAAATTATGGACAGTCCTCAGTGATTGAATTCCACACTGCAGGAATGACTCCTAACTATCTCTCTGTGCCATTGTTTTTACAAAGTTTTTTATTTAAAAACTGTTATGACTGTTTTCTGTTGTATAAATGCCAATCTCTGCTGTGAAATGCCATCAGATGCTTTTGTGTAAATCATAGCACAGAATGTATCCTTCTTTGGAAAACTACTGCCATTAAATATTACTGTCCTTGTAATAGAAGAAAGAGAGGGTGATAATTCTACAAATGAAATATTTCAGAAGAATCATGAATGAATGAACAGTAATATTTACTACTTGAAGAGACAAAAATAAATTAATGAATTTGGGGAAATAGGACTGTTGATATCTAACATCCAAGATCCATAACCTCCACAAGTCATAGTTGTAGAAAACCTTATTTCAAAAGAGTGTGATGGATAAATAGACTTAAACCATTTTTATCTTTCTGGATTTACCTTGGTAGTGGCAAAATTTAATCATGTTTCCACTCTTAATAAGTCAAAGTCGTGGGACAACTGATTTCATCTCATGTTTCTACACATATCAGGAAGAAGAAACAGACATTGCCATGACTCTAAAGCAGAGATGCTTCTTTCATACAGGATAATGATTTCTAGTTCCACTCCAGTTCAAAAATTTTCAAAGGAATGAGAAAGAAGGAAAGGACCAGCCAGTCTTTATGATAACTTAGGAGAGCTCAGTAGGTAAAGGGTCTGATGCATAGCAGGTGATCAACTCTTCGTTTATTATTGGCAGGCTCCCACAGGCAATAGCACATCCTACTGGAGCTGAGGAAGAAAACCATCTGTCCATACCCACTGCCTGGAGAATGATCTGTTGCCAGAAGCTGGATGACTTCAGGTCTAGCCAAATGCCAAGCTATGCTAAGGGAAGTTGGGGTTCTTGTCCTGGAGAATTGCAGAATGGTGGGGAGAATGTATTGTCTAGACACTTGCATTTCTCAGAGTTTGAATGAAAGTGTATTCCCCGGTTTAATAAGAGCCTGGCAGCCTCTCCTTATGAATAAGGCATATGTGTCTAACAGAGAAAGTCTTAACCCTTGAGAGGCAGGGTAGCATAAGAAAGAACGGGAGACCTGTCTGCTGACCCCCGCTTTTGTTCACTTACATGCTTGCTGTGTGACCCTGGACAAATCACTTCATCTCTGGGTCTTTGGTTTCCTAATGAGTGTAATGAGATCCTTTCCAATTATAATTCTCTGTGATTCTCCTCATATGTATGGCTATAAACCACAATGCCCTTACTGGTCCCGCAAGTGATATACAAATAAAGAGTTGCTGCTTGTTGTTTTTTTCAGTTTGGCGGCCACAGACTCCAGGTTTTGTAACAAAAATATATGAGTCCTTTCTCACACTACTATAGAGAAATACCTGAAACTGGGTAATTTATAAAGAAAAGAGATTTAATTGGTTCACGGTTCCACAGGCTGTACAGGAAGCATGGTGCTGCACCTGCTTCTGGGGAGGCCTCAGGAAGCTTCTACTCGTGGTAGACAGCAAAGCTGGAGCAGGCATCTTACATGGTAGGAGCAGGACCAAGTGTCGGGAGGAGGTGCCACACATTTTTAAACAACCAGATCTCACAATAACTCACTCACTCAGGATCCGGAGAACAGTTCTAGGGGAGCTGGTGCTAAACCATTCATGAGAACTCTGTCCCCATGATCCCATCACCTCCTACCAGGCCCCATTTCCAATACTGGGGATTACAATTGAACATGAGATTTGGGTGAGGACATAGATCCAAACCATATCAAAAAGCAAGTACATATACCACAGCTTTCTTGTTTTCTTCTTCCACTTCGCACATAGCGGTACTAAAGCTGACCTTCTTGACAGTGGGGGCAACGATAACAACGATGATAAACAGGTCACTTCAACAAAGAAATGATAATGAGATGGGAGAGTTCTCTGGCTCCCGTTGCAGGGTGTGTGACAAGGGGTACAACTCTCTGTTCGACCTCCACGAGCTCAAGCCCCTTAGAGGAGGGGGAGCATGCAGACAGGCAGGTGCAGGAATTGGGGCGAGCACTTTTGGGCTCCGACCCCACAGCAGCGTCTAGGGGTGGCTACCTGCGACCCCAGTGTTACAATGCTCTTTTAGCTCTGCCATCCACAGGTGGTTTAAGTGTTAACAAGCTCATTGTCCCCTTGGTACCCGGTCATCCCAAAAGAATTGGATCACACACAGACTGGAAGGATGAATGCAGGGGTTTTATTGAGTGGTAGAGGTGGCTCTCAGCAGGATGGATGGGGAGCTGAAAGCGGCGAGGGAGTGGGAAGATGATCTTGCCCTGGAGTTTGGCCGTCCAGTTGCCAAACTCCTCTCCGACTTTCCCCAGCCAAACTCCTCTCAGCCTTCAGCTGCTCCTTCTCTTCTCTCTTTCTCTGCTGCGCCATTCCGCCGTTCATCTGTGTGTCTCCTCGTCTCCTAGTCTGCCTCTGAAGCCTGGGGTTTCGGGTTTATACGGGTACAGGTTAGGGGGTGTGGTGGGCCAAAAGGCAACTTTTTGGGAACAAAAACAAGAATGCCTGTCCTCATTTAGGGCTGCAGGTATCCAGGCTTGAGGGTGGGGTCTTTGCTGGGGAACCACCCTCTTCTATCCAGTATTTCCCTGTCTCCTGTCCGTATCAATAAGTCACTCAAAGCTTACTTTTGAAGTCTCTTTTCTGTGGTCAGCAGCGTTCACTCTTCAAATAGGAAAGGCCCAAACCAAGGGTTCCCCAACTTGCTCCTCTTTTCATGTCATCTGGATTAGTAAATGATGCCTCATTCAGTCCAGTGCCTCAAGCCAGAAACTGGGAGAGTTAAGGGGGTATTCCCATTGTACTTAAGATGATCTTGCAGATCTTTACTCTGGTTTATCAGATACCACATGAACTCTCCAGCCTCCTCTCCCACTCATTCCCCAACACCAGTTTCTCCTCAAGGCTTCCTCATATCTCTCCATATTATGCTCAGGCCCATCCTGGATCCGGCTAACCCTTACCCACGTTGTGTCTCTCCGTGTAAATGGCATTTCCTCAGACAGGCTTTCTTGACTCCCTCCTCCCAAGTATACCGGGGCCCTTTGTAATCATCACAAATTATAATTATGTGTTTGATTGTTCACTTAGTTATAACCCCTTTCTCTCACGAGGTTCCATGAGGGGATAGAGCACTTCTGTCTTCCTCATCACAAGACTTAAGTGACCACCACAATGGCCAGTTCACTGCACACAAATCTTTGTGGAGTGAATAGACAGGTGGGGGCCCCTTAATAAAAGTTTCTTTCTTCTGGTTACTTTATTTCCATCCTATAAGCTATTATCAGGAGCAACACTGCAGATGATCATTTTTTTTGTAAGTTTTTCACTTTTGCAAGAGCTCTCCCTATGAAGAGCTTTCCCATTTTGGCCTAGATAGGCCTTATTTGAAAGTGGCCATCTCTCTTCACATGCACTCTCCTTTGCTTGGAGATGCAGAGAGTTTAAGACTTTGCCAAGGGTAGGCATGTCGTCAAGACACTCGACATGGTGATGTGGAGCAAGGCTCTGGGTCAGCCCCTACAGAGGTTTGAATCTTGGTTCTGTCCCTGTCTAGCTAATCGACTTTGTGCAGCTAGCCTCAGTTTTTTTTCAACTCTAAAATATGGATAATAATAGAATCTAACTGATAGGTTGTCTTGAGAATTTAATGAAGTAACAAATATAAAACAGTTAGTACAATGTCTGGGACACAGCAAGTGTCTGATAAACATTGACTCCTATTAATAGGTTTCACTCAATCCCAGAGGAAAGTTTGTTCATGTGCTGAGTTCTAGGGCTGGGGAATTTCAGGGGAGGCATCTTTCTTTGTCTTCTGTCTCCCTTTCCCTCTCATTTACTTTACCCTATACCCCCATCCTGATGTGCTGTGGTCCCAAAAGGCGGCAAGCAAAACTATGAGAGATTCTAATTCTCTACCTTACTCATTTGAAGCCATAAGCGGATTCGAAATTTACAAGCCAGCAGTATAAAATTGCTGATGACCATTGCTTAAACTTTGGCAAGATGAATTCTGCCTAGAAATAATTAGTAATATGTTAGTCAAGTCAACAATAAAATTGTTGCACTGGCATTTAGTGACAGTTCAGGAGAGCGCCCTTACAAGAGGCTCTGTAGGCAGAGAGTAGGTGACATTAACCTTCTAAACAGAAGCCGCTGAACACCGAGTGCCAGAGTACCAAGAAGAATTTAACATTCCACTCCTACTGCCCTCCCCCACTTCCCGGCTTCAGCAAGGTGGTTTTAAAATGAGGAGCACATCCCGAGTGCTCTGTGTAGGTGGTGAAGTAGGCGGAGGTGAAATGCAAGCTTTATTTTCCCGGCTGCCTGTCATCCGATTCCCCGCTTTCCTCCGACTTTCATGAATGATGAGGTCATCCCGGTGCAGGAAAATCAAACTCCTATTTTTTCAAACCCAATAAAGGCCAGCATTGTACGTCTGCGTAAACAGAGAGGCCAGACGGGCAGGGTGGCGGGAGGACTAGTGGCCCGCCCTCTGGCGGCCGCGAGAGACAGCGTGCCCCGCGCTCCGCCGAGCCGCGACAGGGAGGCGGGGAGGGTGCGTGCGAACATGTAAGTTAAAATTAGATCAATAGTCAGCTTAGCGGCCTCAATCAATGCTTCGCAGGGAGAGCATGCAACCATCTATTTATAAGCTAACCCCGGCATTATCTTCCTCTTTTAGGACGCAGAGATCCATTACTGCGCGCGGCGGGGGAGAGGACGCCGCCGGGAGCTGGTGCGTGCCACACTGCAGCCTCGCAGGCTGCCCCGGACTTCCAGCCCCGGGTCGGCTCTGGGCGGGCAGGGGGAGGATCCACACCGCCGAGCTGTGGCCCCGCTGCTCCCAGCCGCGCTCCCCCGGCGCGCCAGCTGAGGACTCATTCCCGCCCATTCCTTACCTCGATGGAATCCTTAGCCCTTAGAGAGAGGGCTAAAAAAAACAACAGACAGACAAACAAACAAACAAACAACAACAAAAAAACCAAATTCGAGACGGCCCCGGGACCCTCCCGCAGATGCAGGGCGCACTCTGGCCAGTTCTAACCATAGATGTGACTGCATGTTGACAAGGGTTTCCAACCTAGCTTTCCCGAGGTACTGCATGACTCAGTCCTTGCTCAGATGGCGGTTGCTGTAAATAGTTGCAATTTCCCTCCTTCCGTCTCAAAGCACGGATGAGAATGGATTTGCAGCGGAAACTGTGTATTGTATTTAAGGTCTTGGTGAGATGGACGCGGGTTCCATCAGCTCCAGACTTCCTGGGACACCTCGGCATTTCCAGGTCCGTTTGCCCCAGTGGTGGAAGTCACCTCTCATATTTGATGAAATACATGTCCACGTTTGTGATAACATTGTTAAATTGTTTTCAGTTCTTGAAAGATGCTGCAGAAAAAGAGGCAAAACCTGGTACAGCACAGCAGCATGCCCCTCCCGCCCCCAAATACGAGATCAAATCACATTTCTAAGGGAAAAAATAGGCATTCTCATCTTAGATATGTATGTAGCGTATTTTATAATAGATATTTTTATCAAGAATTTTGCTTTTCTGTATTTTACAACTTTCTTTATTAAGCATTTTTATTTTGTGCTATTTTTACAATACAAACTCTGAAGACCCAAAGAAATTTAATATTAGCTTAAATGTACATTAGATATATTTATAGAATCAATTTATTAGCTGCTATAATGTTTGACATAAAAGGCTTCTGAACTAAAGATAGAAACGGAAGCATTCTTTATTTAGAAACAACCTTTCTCCTCTTCTTCCAACTCTTGTTGGCTTACCTCCAAAATATATCCTGCATCCGTCTCTTTCTCACCACCTAGACTGTTCCTAGTTTAGTTACAGGTCACCCTTCATCATCATTCACCTGAATTACAAAAATAGCCTCTTGTCTGGTTTTCCTGAATTCATTGTCTCCCCACTGCAGTCCTCACTTGCCACATAGCAACGAGATTGCTCTTTTAAAATGGAAATCAAATCCTATCTCTTCTCTTTTTAGAACCTTCAGTGGCTTCCCATGGCACCTTGATTAAACCCCAAATTCTTCACCATAGCCAAAATGTAATGTGCCATCTGCCCCTATCCACCCTCGCTCATCGCTCCTCATCTCATATCACTTTCTCACTTGTCACAGCATGCTTTTACATATCCCTTCTTTCAGATCTAAAGCCCCACAAGCTCATTTTTGTCTCCTAATCCCAGTTCTTGCTGTTCATTCAGTGTGGAAGATCTTCATAAATTCTTCACAAATCTACTTCATTCTTATTCTAGCCTCAGCTCAGGTATCAGAGCTGACCACCTTCTATCCCACCCCTCAACTCAACTCATTATCACATTACCATATTCTATTTCAACACAGTAATTAATTGAAATTATTTTATTTATCCATGGCATTATCAGGGTGTTCTCTGTCTCCACACACCAGAATGTAAGCCCCATGAAAACAGGCTCCTTGTCTTTCTTGTACACCGTGATCTCTCTGGGTTCTAGAAAAATGCCTGGCCCATAGTTGGTAATCAGTAAGCATTGATTGAATAAATTATTGAGTGTGATTTCCTAGTGTCTTGTTTGTAAAATGCCACTAATAGCATTCTGTATACTCTGCCATGAGTTTTATAGTTATTTTTATGCCCATATGCTTCCTCCTCTCAAGTGTGAACTCTATGAGGCAGGATCATATTTAGTTCATTTTATTCTCCATGTCCTTATGGAGTCTGGCACATCACAGGTGTTTAATATATTTTTCTGGACTGAGTTGCAATAAGTAAATAGGTAATAAGGTGATACTAACCTTTCACCTGGGGACATGCAAAATTATTATGTATCCAAAGGAACAGGTTGTTGGTTTGACCCCTGTAACATCGCACACACATACACATGGACATACACACACTTGTTCTCGATATTTTCAAAGACTATTCAAATCCATTATTTTATTTGATCTCCAAGCTGGTATGTATAAGCAGAAGCTCGGGGGCATTAATTGACCTGCTCAAGATTGCATAGCTAATATAAAGCAGAGACAGGGATAGCGCCTGCTACTTTCAAACACCCACAATATGCACACATAAAAACACATGCACACATTTCCACATTTGCCAATATGGCTTAGTTCAAATGGGATCATAAATGCAAAGTACTTTGAATGGAATCTGGTATGACAGCCTTCCAATAAATAACCATTCCTTTCTCTTGGCCTTACTACAGTTGCCATAATCTTCCTATTTCTACAAAGAAGAATGCTTCTATCTTCACTTTGCTCTTTTTCTTACTAGTCTGATCTCCAGGGTCATCCTTATTGTGAAATTTTAATGCATAATATTAATTGGATATTTTCACAGACATGAGCAATAGTAAATGGATTTTTTGCTAACTAGCAACCTATTCCTCTTCTAACTTTTACTCTGAACACAAACCAAAGAGAAACAGTTGTGAATACCTACTAGCACACAGCTTAGCTTAAGTCATACAGTGCAGTGTTAATGAGGAAAGTTTATCATCCACAAACAAACACTAAACATAGCACAGCCAGGGAGGACAAACAATGTGCAAAATTAGTTTTATTATAGGCAAAAAAAGAATGAGAGCCCATATTGATCATTCATTCATTGTTGCATTCATTTTATGTGCCAAGCACACTGTACAAAGTTTGGGAATAGAGAGGCAAGCAAAAATAAATGAGGTCTCTACTGATATGGGTCTAGTGGAAAAGAAACACTTAAACCAAAGAATCACAAAACAGAGATCAATGCTGTGAGTGGGTAAAACAGGAGGAATGGCCATGGTCAGAGAATTCAGAAGGGAAGTGAAGTCCTTGAAGAAATGACTACTAGGCTTAGCTATGTTTTGAATTCAGTTATGGTCCAGTATCCCCAGTGGTTACTAAAGAAGGAAGAAATGACCAAAGAAATAAATAATAATAGTGACTACCTTTGAAATTCTTTGATTTAATAAATACTTCTTGAGTACCTACTATCTACCAGGTAGTCATCAAAGTGCTAGGGGCTATAACAGTGATCAGAGACAAAAATCCCTGCCCTTATGGCTTTACATTGTTATGGAAGATGGCATACAGTAAACTCACACATAATTATCATGGAAAGGAATGTTAACTGTTGATTTCTCCTAAGCAGAAAAACAAACCAAGGAAGTAAGATCAGGAAGTGGAGTTGGTGGGGCAGTGAGATACAGTTTTACTTAGGATAGTCTTGTATGCCCTCTCTGAATAATACATTTAAGCAAGACCAAACAGTGGTAAAGCAGCAAGCTATGTTGATGTGAGTGGCAGGTGTGGGTGGTCACAGAGGGAAGAACCTTAATGAAATCTTCAAGGGCAATGACCCTGAGACTACAGCATGACTGACTTGCCATGAATCTGAAGGAAGTGCAAGGAGGCCAGTATGTCTAAGGTAACTGGAGTAAGCAAGAGGGTGACTAGTTACATGAGCACAGAGAGGTAACTAGGACATGAGTTCAAAGGAGCAATAGATCTTTTTTTTTTTTTGAGACGGAGTCTGGCTCTGTCGCCCAGGCTGGAGTGCAGTGGCCAGATCTCAGCTCACTGCAAGCTCCGCCTCCCGGGTTTACGCCATTCTCCTGCCTCAGCCTCCCGAGTAGCTGGGACCACAGGCGCCTGCTAGCGCCAGCTAGTTTTTTGTATTTTTTTTTTTAGTAGAGACGGGGTTTCACCGTGTTAGCCAGGATGGTCTCGATCTCCTGACCTCGTGATCCACCCGTCTCGGCCTCCCAAAGTGCTGGGATTACAGGCTTGAGCCACTGTGCCCGGCCAATAGATCTTGAAGTACCTTGAAGGTAGGTGTAAAGATTTTGGCTTTTCCTGTAAGTACAATGGAACTTTAGAAACTTTAGTACAATGGAACAATAGAAACTTTTGAACAAATGATTGACATGATCTGACTTTATTTATTTATTTATTTATTTATTTTTGAGACAGAGTTTCACTTTTGTTGCCCACGCTAGAGTGCAATGGTGTGATCTCAGTTCACTGCAACCTCCGCCTCCCAGGTTCAAGCAATTCTCCTGCCTTGGCCTCCTGAGTAGCCGGGATTACAGGTGCCCACCACCACGCCCAGCTAATTTTTGCATTTTTAGTAGAGACGAGGTTTTACCACGTTGGCCAGGCTGGTCTGGAACTCCTGACCTTAGGTGATCTGCCCGCTTCAGCCTCCCAAAGTGCTGGGATTACAAGCGTGGGCCACCGCACCTGGCCCTGACTTATGTTTTAATAGTTACTCTGGCTGCCACGTAGAGAGTACTCATTATGTTCCAGGAAATGTACTGTGTCTTAACAGAGGACTTCATTTTACTTTCATAATTCTGAGAAGTACCCATTTTACAAGTGGGAAAACCAAGATGTAGGGAGTTTTAACACCTTACTCAAGGTTGCGTGGCTAATAACTGATAGAGCTGGAATTAAAAGTCAAGTAATGTAATTCTATCACCCTGGCTATTAACCAAAATGTAAGAGTACCCCCTAAGAGAGACTGGGATGGGGGGTGTTGGTGCTGAGAGTAAAAATAATATCTATCATTTATTGAGGGTCTACCAGTCACTGCCCTAGATTTTCTCATTAATTTTATTTCATTCACACATCAACCCTATTAGATACATATTATTGTTCTTTTATTATAGATGAGGAAACTAAAACTCAGAGAAGTTATGTAACTCAAGTTTGAACAGTTAATAATTAGAAGTTAAAATTCAAACCCAGAGTGCTTCATCTCTGAAGCTATGGCTCATTGCTTCTCAGATAAGAATGCTAAACTTCAAAATATATTTCTTATAAAGAACCTATAATTGAGTCTTCTATTTTTAAAATATCTACTATATCTTTCTTTTTGGAGTGCTTAGTGTACTTACTTACATAATGACTGAAATAGTTGCTTTAATTCTACCTACTTGCTATTTTTTTTTCTATTTATCCCATCTGTTCTTCATTCCTTTATTCCTCCTTCTCTACTTGGTTTTCAATTAAGTGTATTGTATTCATTCCATTTATCTCCTCTATTAGTTATATATTCCTGACATTATTAGCTCTTATATGAGAAATTAATGTGCCTTCCTAGCTTCTCAATATATATTTTAAATTCATATTTTACACTTCACAAGTAATGCGAAAAGCTTGCCACAGTTTAACCTCATCAAGGCCCTCCAGTTTGTTTGTGATACTGTCAGTTTCATTCCCACATTGTTATGTTCCTCCAAGTCTTTCCTTATTTTTGTTTTAAAAAGTCAATATTCTTTTAATATTTACACACATACTTTTCCTTTACTGTGCTCTTTGTTCTTTCCTAGAGTTTAATATTTCCACCTGGGATTATTTTCCTTCAGCCTGAAACATTTTCTTGAGTAAAACTTACAGTGCCATTCTCTAGAGACTATAAACTTGGGAGCTCATTGGATGGGTTTAAGAGCATATGGGACACAACATATTTAACTCAAAGACAAGATCATTTTTTAAAAATGCCTGAACTGAAACACAAAAGTGAAAAAAAGTTTAAACTCTCTCAAGGTTTATTTGTCTGAAAGTATATTTATTTTGACTTAACTTTTGAGTATATTTTTACTTGGTATAAAATTCTAAGTTGGCAATATTTTTCTTTCAGCTATTTAAAGATGTTAAGACATTGTCTTCTGGCTTCCATAGTTTCTACTGAAAAATCAACTGTCAGTTTTGTTGTTACTTTGAAAGTAATGTGTCCCCCTTCCTCCACCTCTGCTTTGATTTGTTTCATATTTTTTCTTTGTCTTTAATTTTTAGCACTTTGAATATTATGTGCCTAAATGGGGTTTTCATTGTTTTTATTCTTCTTGATATCCTCTGTTCTTGGATCTGTGGGTTGATATCCTCGATTTGTTTTGGCGAATTTGTTTTCTCTGCAACAATTTCTTCTTCTTCAGTCCCTCTTTTCTCTCATTCTGGCACTTTGGTTATGCAAGTATTAGATTTTTTGACTGTGTATTCAATGTCTGTTATGTTTTATTCCATTCTTTCTATTCTATCTTTGTTCTCACATTTGTGTTTCAATTTGGGCATTTTTAAAAACTGATCTTGTCTTTGAGTTAAATATGCTATGTCCCACATGCTATTAAATTCATGCAATAAGTTCCTAAGTTTAGGTATTATATTTTCCAAATTCTATAATACCCATATGGCTTTGTTAGCCATTTTTATTCTCTTTGAAACTCTTAACATTTAACACATATCTAGTTCCTTTGTATCCATTAACATAATAATCTTTATTGTTTTAAAGTCATTTTCTGCTAATTTTTATATTTGTGAGTCTGCTTCTATTGTTTGATTTTTTTTCTCTTGATTACAAATCAAACCTTCAATTTTCTTTTCATGTTAGTAATTTTTAGTTATCTTACAGATATTGGGTATTAAAAATAACCCCAAACAAAACAACATAACGACAACAACAAAGAAAATGTTCAGATGAAATGTCTACCAGCAAGGGTTCCTCCTATCGTCTGCTGGGCAGACAGGCAGAGATTGTGCTGGAGAGGAGGTTGAGTTGCAGTTTTTAGCAAATCCCAGTTCACCTTTTATTTGTCCCTGATTTTGCAGAGGTCAATTTTGGGCTTTTGATGGGAAGCCTAGGAGCTACCTGTCTCCACAGTTCTAAATAGTCTACTCTTCAGAGATTTAGAGCCTATATCCTAGACATCTATGCCACAAAGGTTCAAATCTGGCAAATGGTTTATGAGGAAAAATTATTGGGCATTTATTGTAAACGCATATTTCTAACAAGACATCGTTTCTCAAGCACTGCAGACTACAGTAGATTTTTTTTTCTCTTTCTGGTTCTGCCCCTTTGAGACTTCCCCACCATTCCAAAACATATGGAAATGAGCCTTGCATTTTGCACTCTTCTATTTTCCCATCTATTATGCCAATCCCATTCATTCACCACAACTTCTGCTGATTTCTGATTTACCCAGTAAAGTCCTTCTCTTTGGCCCTAATCTCATCTTCAGCCTTTACCTGCAATGAACAAATTCTCCTTGGGAAGCAAACAGCTGGTGATTATAAGCTCATGTAGGAATTTAAGTTTATCTAGTTCCTGTTGCTTCCAACAAGGTAGTGTCTTTAATGACGCTTTCGATTTACCTGGTTTTTTTTTGTTTTTTGTTTTTTCTTATTGCAGCACATGTGTGTTAGCCTGCTGTGACCATCTAGTTCCTATTTAGAAATGAAAGTCTCTCTCAGATGTATAAGGGGCAGAAATTTTGGAGCTTGAACAGACTTTGGCATATGCTCAGAATTGTAAAGTGATGTATTCAAGGCAACAAACAAACAAACTGACAAGGCTAGAAATTGGACCTGAGGTAAACCTTGAGGGAGGTCTTCTGATCCCATCTATTATTCAAGAGGACAGGGAGCAGAGAAAGAGAAGAAGAGAGAAGATATTATGGAAGGCTGTACCTGAAACAGAGAGCAATTCTGAAGTTTTTTCTCCAATTCTGGAGTTCAGAAGTGACCTACCCTCAGAAATGCTGGAAAACAGACTTAGGTCTTTTGAGTCAATTATTACAACTAACATTTGCTTATTATTATTATTGTTGTTGTTGTTCTACCTGGTTTGAAAACAGGATTTAAAATAATTTGCCAATGGTGAGAGCTCCTCTGGAGAAAGTTACAGATGAGGCAGATAGGATGGTAATATAGAGGGTAAGAAAGTCTGTCATTAGAAAGTTGAGAATATTACTGGCAGGGGTACATTGGTAGTTGAAGGAATTTCAGGACTAGGTGATGTGGGCTCATGAATTACTCCACTCAACAGAGTAAATGAGACAAGACTGGGCTCCTGTCCTTTGAAAACATAAAAAGGAAATGTTTCTATCCTTTTCTAGAGGGAAAGTTGATCACTGTCCCTTTTGTCCCCTCTATGATTGTTGAGCTAGTCCAGAGTGCCAAAGTAAGGGAAGAAAAAGTACGAGATTAATGACAAGATGGGATTCTGGAACTGAGAGCAGAGAGACCCATCCCTTCCCGAGATGCTCCTCACCCTTCCACTCACACGCTGAGCTACTGTAGCCAAACTTCACCTCTTATATGGGGAAGGAAAAACATTTGAATTTGCAGAAAGTCAAAGTCATGAGAAGATAAAACAAATGTGATGAAAAATAAACGTGATTTTTATGTTTTATCTTTAATGTGGTAGTAGTATATTTATTTAAGTTTTGTGGTATTTTGTCCTGCTCTTGATTGAAATTGTATGTCTCTAGTCGAGCCTAAAAGAGAGATTGCTAAGCAATTTAACAATGTAAACAAGTAACGGGGGGAGGTGTTCAGGATCAACGGCAAGCAGTATGTTTTTATATTCTTAGAAGAGCAAACTGAACAAACTGTATTTAAGAATATTATCACACTATTGTCTACATGCAAATGTGTGCTGCTATTTGTAAATGAATCACATCCCTTTATTAAGCAAGGATGTCTATTTGTCATCCTTGCAGCAATTCCAGTAATAAAAAAATGCCCATTTCTTTAAAATTATGCACTATTGATGGCAGCTAATATTTCTGGAGTATTTATTATGAACCAGGCTGCTAAGCAAGGATCACTTCATACAAGCTATTGCATTTAATCTTCACAATTGTTTTATGAGGTAGTTACTAATATTATCCTCCTTTTTAACAAGTAAGAAAATGGAGACTTAGCAAGGTTAAGTAGCTTGCCCAAGGACATATAATAAAGGGCAGAGCCCAGTTCAGTTTGATTCAAAAGTCTATGTGCTAATCATTCTGCATTAATCAGAATGGTCTTTCAATGGCTCCAAACCTGTGGTGCAAAACTTTCCATTGGAATGATGGCCAACCCAGTGGCTTGGTTTCTAAACAACTCCATTCCTTCTTTCTGTTCTCCTCACCCAGTCACCTTGATGACCAGTCTTCTCTCTCAGTCCATAGCGGTCAAGTGGTGTTGCCCAAAGCATGAAAAAGGGAAACGAACAGTTTGAGAAAGCGACATTGACTTGGTATCTTCTTATTGCAGCCCTCTTGCTGGGTCCCAGCATATCACCTACTAATTGTATGGCCTATGGCAATAAACTTTATAATTCTCACCTCTGAAATTAGAATTATATTACTAATCTTGCAAAATTGCTAGGAAAATGAAATACTGCATGAAAAGTGCCTAGTTCAATGCAGACACATGATAGCATTTGTTATATATGAGTTTTCTTCCCCTTCCTAAATTTATCTTTAATGCATCCGTATGCTGTATCTTTCTTCAAAGTCAGAACCTTGTCTGGCAGACTTTTAAGCACTGTGTTGATATCTAGACTTTGCATATAACTCAGAGGAGATTGTGAGATGACTAATGTGAAGACATCTCTGGACAAGCAATTACCCACTTCCTACTGGATATATTCTCATAATTTGAATACTTGCTTTAAAAGTACTTCTCCACTTTAAACACTACTCAATTATCTATGTGGTGTAAAGATTGCCTGCCCTCTACTCCACACCGCCAACAAAGAAATTCCATGGTAACATACCCAAGAAGCAGAATTCAGAATCCCTTCTCTTCATTTGGAGTCATCTGGAGTTGAACAGCTCTTGAGTAGGGGGCACTTTTTTGCTGTAATAAATTTGTCTTTGTGACAAACTGAAGCTACTGGCCTCCAGGTGGAGCTGCACGAAAGAAAGAGAGAAGTAAAGAGAGGGGAAAATAGGTTGGTGTCCCAGAGTAGATAGCCTGAGAAAGACTCAATAAAACCAAGATGGTACATGGTCCTCAGGGGATTTTCCAGGAAAAGAAGTGACATGCAAACTAATTCAGCCAGTTTAATTCCACAAGAATTTGAAGAGACTGCCAGTGTCCTCAGACAGCCCCAGTGTCTGACGCAAGAGAAATGAGACATGGTCCCCAGGAAGCTGGCAGTCTTTGGGAGGGGCAGCACATAGGCATGGAAGAAGAACATCAGGAGACCATGTGTAATTCAATGGTAAAACAGTCATGCAGCTTAGGACATGGTTTCAACTCCAGAGGTGAGAGAAAAGCTACTCTGTGTGTGTGTGTGTGTGTGTGTGTGTGTGTGTGTGTGTGTGTGCGCGCGCGCGCTACTACATTCCAGGCCCTAAATTTGACAGGTTAAATAAATTATCTCATTTAATGAATCCTAAAACAAACCTTTGACATGAACCCATTTTAATGGCAAGGAAATGGAAGCACAAAGATTAAATAACCTGCCCAGGAGCCAACAGCAAGCAAGCTGTAGAATTACAAGTTAAACCTGTCTGAATTCAACACCCATGGTCTTGGAAGGCCTGAGCCATTTGCTAGCCATATAACTAAACCCTCCTGACTCCTCTGTGCCTGTTTTATTTTTTTAATGAGACAAATGGATATCATATTGCTGTACTCAAATTGTTTGGGTGTAATCCTTTGCTTCTGCCCTCTTCTTCAGCAATATGACCTTCACTTTAGCCCCTGATAATTGGGCATCTCTTGCTTTACCCATGTGATCCTGCCTCCAAATGGAGGCTGCTGAGACCAAGGTGGGCACTTGACTCAAAGAAGGTGGGGTGCAAGGAGAGACTGACAGGTCCCAGAACTATGGCAACTTAGTCTGTCCTGAAGCCTGATGGTTCAGTCAGCTTTTCCTAGATTCTGTGAGACTATGCTATAACTGTACAGTCATCTCCCCAACCCCCATTCTTCTGTTTTCTTGAGCTGAATTGAGCTTCTGTTACCACAACCAACAGATCCCTGACTAGAACAAATGCTTTCCATAGAGTTATTGTGAGGAATCCATGAGATAAGGTAAATTAGAAAGGGCAAGATCAAGGAGACCATAGCTATTTATCTGAGTGAGTAAAATAGCAATTTGGCCTTTATAATTGGATCCCAAGATTTTCAATTTATGAAATGCTTCATTATGTCAAAAGCAGGATATGCACAATTTTCACTTTTACTTTTCCTGCCAGGAGAAATCAAAGCGGCCAATAGTCATGTTAAACTAAAGACACGGCTGCAAGGTTCTCTGTATTTTGGACAGAGAGGCTCCAGGCTGGTCATCTGGTAACCACTTTAAATTAGGTTTCCATTGGAGCCACACTGTACCCTGAGGACTCTTCCATAGGAGGTGTAGATATCCTGACTGAATGACGGACTGCTTGACTGGCCGGCCAGCCACACTGCAATCTTCACCTGTGTGAACGTTTTGAGAGAAGTGTGCCACTCAGGTCCAACAAGTTGTTTGACCAAGGACACTTCTTATTTGATTTGGTTCAATTGCATCGACTGCCCGTGTCACTGAAAATGATCAAAGCAATTGCATATAGACACAGCCTGAGAATCCAAAGCTGCTTCTTTAAAACAAAAAAGCAAACAAACTTCACACTGGACATTTTAAGACTAGGTTATTTAATATCATGGACGCCTTGCCTTTGGGATGATGATTTAGGTTTGAAGAGATGGCCAGAGACAGCATACTTTTTGCTGGCATCTGATTTGTCCCATTGTTCATGTTGCTTCATTTGTCATGGACTACAGGGTGCCAAGGCTTTCTTTGCTTCGTGATAATTTCAATACTTCTCAGGTTAAGGTGGAGCCATTGGACCTGGCTCTCCTCCCTAACCCCTTCCTCATGCACCCCACATTCTCTCACTTTCTCTGGGGATCACACTGCTTCTTACATCCTCCAACTCCAGTCAGGCAGCAGAGGAAGCAACATTTTTGTTAGTGAGTTTTTCCCCCGTGGCTGCTTTATTACTTAGACCATGTAAATCTCGGTTGGAGGGTGGCCTTTGTGTGAACCTCATTCTGAATCTCAATTGACTCGTTCAAAGACAGTCCGTATATTTTCCTGCTACTTTTTCACTACTTTCATCTTTCTCAGCTTTTGCCTATTAGGATCAGTTATGGTTTTTTAAAATGAAGTATCTTTTGTTGACATTATTAGAGCTTCCCACTCCAAGACACTGCAGGTCAGGGCTGCTTCCTGCAGGAGAATTTTGGAAGAGGTTCCTGGGAAAGGATCAGATGCCATATAGATACTGTGATGCTTTTAATCCACATGAGTTTTTGGGAGAGAATGCTGAATCATGATGGGTGCTTAGTGTCCTTTAATTACCAATGTTATCAGGAAAAGAAAGTGTACCATAATCTCATACTGATGGATTACATTGCAGGCACTGGAAAGAAATCTTTTTTTAGAACAGCCCTTGTCATGGTGGAGGTAGGGGTAGGGGGCTGGCGCTTCCCAATTGCCTATTCTGTGTACTAGAATCTTGGTGGCAAAGGTCAGGTAGGGTCTAGCCAAGTCCGATATCTATCTAAAATTATATCCAGATTTGTTAACCTAGGACTTGATGAGTTTAACAATAAATGTCCACTAAACCTGTACATGATAAATACATCAAGCATAAAACAATGGCAAACATTTTTCAAGTACTTGCCACATGCCAGGCAAGAATTCTGTCTCATCTTTTCTTCTAAGCAACTCTATGAGGTCATAATAACAGCTAAGATTTACTCAGTTCTCACTCTGTGCCAGGAACTATTCCAACTGCCATGCATACCCTTATTTACTTATTTCATTCTCCCAGTAATGCTGTGGGTTATTTAGTATCATGTGGTGTGGGCACGATTTTTCAACCCATTTTATAAATGAAGAAACTGAAGTATACGCAGAGAGGTTAGGGAACTTGCCCCAGGTTGTAAAGCTGACAATGAGTGAAGCTGGGATTCACACCCAGCCATCTGATTTCAAATCCCCTGTGATAAACGATAACCATCCCCTCGAAGAATACATGGTGAATGTGGACTAGTGAAAACCTCCAGTTTCTTCTGTGACTAAGGGAGTCATTATAGATGAATGAGCAGGACTTGTTCACTATCAGATTCTGCTGGTCCTTGTGGCTCCTCCACTGTTTTGGTGATGGGCAGCCAGTCCTAGAATGGTGGCAGCTCTTTGTGGAACTCTGATGCTATCTGGAGCTTATTCTCCATCTCTGCTATTTCTTAGATTTTGCTTTAAATACGGTCTTTGTTGATTTCTACAGAGATTGGCTCCCCCAATACTTTCTGCAAAATAACCTGCCTCTAATTGCCAAGAAATGCCTCTCTCTGGGTTTGTTTACATGGCACTGTGACTCTGTCTGCTCAGAACTGTGCCCTCCATGCCCTGTCTGTGTTTCT